TTAAAAATGGCATTTACAAGTTGCCATCGCGCTGGCAAGAAGTCATAAGTAACGATGGAAAGTATGTTCTACAATAAATATTATTAAACGTATGAAAATTGTTATATTTCAATTCAAAAACGGACAGAACTTTCCGGTAGACCTAATATTTCGAAATAGTTGAATATAATACAATATTGTTGTCACACCGCGAATCAAATAATTAACCAGATTAATGAAATGAAATCAGAAATGCTAGAAATATTATTTGTTAACAAAACACACGGTCAAAGTGGTGTAATTCAGAGTGAAATAAAATAATTGGAACGCGTTGCTTAACCCGTTCAACATTTGCAGCGTTGATTCATCGTAAAACTCTTAAAATGCAACGCCGCCGATGTTTCGGAAACCTTTGCATAAAAAATACCTATAAGTATGTAACTTAATAATTAATAATATAACTCACACTGCCTCGTGTCCCGACTTTTTTTACATATGTGCGTGTCGTAGAATAAATAATTTATCGTAAAAAAATGTGTCTATAGTTGACCTTAAACAATTGTGTTTAATTCGCAGCGGATGGACATTGTTTGCGAAGTTACTCTTTGCATTACGGTTGAATCATCCATGGATACACATTCAATTCATCAAAAGTAGAGCACGGTTCTATTTCGTTCACTGTTCACCTTGGATGTTCATTTCGGAAGAAGTGCGGACAAAGATAATATTTTCGTTTTTCATAGCGGATGGATCGTCCGGGATGCGCATCCAAAGTGCAACGTCGAAATTTACCCTAACATGCATCGAATGAATGAAACTCAGAAAAATACAGTGCCTATATCTAGCATATCTCTTGCTTTTCAAATAGAAGTACTCTTTTGTTAATAGAGTAAATGCTCAACCAAATGCCCAAATGCACTCCTCTTTTCCCTTATTATTAAGTCGTTGTATAATTAGTAGGATTAATGGAGCAATTAATAGAGCCTTGCAAAGACATTTATTTAATTGTTATCACTATACTGCTGATGTTTATGCAAAATGAAAATTGTTCCTACTGATTACAGGATACAAGTGCTAGAGAGGCATCGATTTCGTTCTTTAATTATTTTAATAAGTTAAAAATAGTGTAACGATATATATATTTTCAAATTCTTTTAATGCCTTTTTTCCCTTATTATTAAGTCGTTGCATAATTAGTAGATTAATAGAGCAATTAATAGAGCCTTGCAAAGACATTTATTTAATGTATCAAGCACAATAACCGATAATAAACAAAACAATGAACCAAAGTTCTGCATTAATTATTGGGTTGGCAACTAAGTAATTGCCGATTTCAGTTATAGACGTCTCTCACTCCCATTTTTATGATATCCGTAAATGTTATATTATAAAATTATTATTATCATTATTAATATGTTATTTTTTATTATCCCTGAATGTTAGCAATTGGACAAATTGAATGCAGCGGTCAAGGAAAAGCGACCAGAATTGGTCAATCGTAAAGGTGTCATTTTCCCGCAGGACAATGCTAGGCCGCACACGTCTTTGTCCATTCGGCAAAAATTGAAGGATATTGGATGGGAATTGATGTTCCACCCACCATATAGCCCTGATCTCGCGCCATCGGATTACCACTTACTTCGATCCCTGGACAACTCCCTTCGTGGTAAAACTTTTAATGTGATAATGACGCTGTAAAATCTCACTTAACTCAGTTTTTGACCGAAAAGGATCAGACTTTCTACGAGCGTGGAATTTTCAAGTTGTCAGAGAGATGGCAAAAGATTATCGAACAAAATGGAAATTTATTACAGATTAAACTTCGTTCCAAGTAAAATGAAATTTCTTATTTCATTGAACAAATCGGCAATTACTTAGTTGTCAACCTAATAATTATGCTTATTTCTGAGTGTCTGGTGCGTGCTTAAGAAATCGACGATCTCTCGTTGTTACCGCAACGAGACGTTCTTTAAGATTGGATAAAAAGAATTAACAGAACGGCGTTACGCAAAACGGAGAAAATATTCGTTGCGTTAGAGGAAAAGGAAAACTCGTGTTGACCGCGTTCGACGATGAAACAACTGAAATTACGTTTGAACATGCTTATCTGCCGAGCGAAACTTAAATTGTACACCGTTGCAGCACAGAATGGACACTGCCGTTTTCGATCGGGTTAAAAACAAAACACGTAGGGAGCAACCATGCGTTAAAACTGTTAACCGATGCAAGTGTAAAGCAAGACTACCTTTAAACCTAAACATAAGATAAGATAAGAACTTCTAAACACTCACCCCCTAAAAACTCTATATATAAGCCAGCCGAACCCGAATAAACCAGTTATTCTGCCGGAACCTCTCTGCGTGCCAACTTCATTCTCCCGAAACCTTTTCGTAACGTATGCGTACTTTACTTAAAGTTCAGCGCAAGGACTAATTATCAGAATATCACGATCGTGTACTCTTCAGTATAGTAATAAGCAGTCAGTGAAAGCTTAGAGTTCTGCGTTAGCTCATTTTTACGTGTCGCGTCCCGTGACACAAGCTTGTGCAGAGAATTCGCCACTGTACGATCTTCATTAAATTTCTGCTCCCAAATATTTGTATTGTGTTATTTAGAAGGTACCATATTTGCGTCCGTATTGATACCGTTGCATCTTTCCTTTGCCACAGTGAATCGTTATTAAACGAATTACACGATACATGAAGCATCTGATTTATCTGTCGATACTCTAAATCCTACTGATACTGAGAAAATTGACGATGATGACGCTTTGATGACGTAGACGGTTTACACAATTTTTCGATCAAGCTCGAAAATTAATTTCGATCACAAACCCACAGGTAAATCAAACTTTACTCGAATACAAATACAAATGTAATTGTATGTGAGTCTTTTTTATACTATTGAGTGAGTTGTTCCGATTTCGTTACTAATAATCGAGTAACCGTTAAATGGAATAACAGCTTGATTACCAACGTCAAGTAAGTGAAAATGTTTTAGATTTTCAAATAGTTTTAATTATATATGAATCAAATATGACATTAGTAAATTTAAGATATTCATAACTTCAATGTCATTGTTTAAAATTCTGCAAATGTAAGGAGGTATTCTAGTGTGAAACGCCTGATCATTAGTGTTTTCTCCGAACATTTTTTTACAGAAATACTAAAGCGCCGTTCGCAGTAAAAGCTTGAAGTATATATTTATACATATTTCAATAGCATATCTAATTTTTCTTTTATTTTCTTTTTTTTTGAGAAAAAATAAATATTCATGCCACTTCGTGTCTTCGTATACAGTAGCTTATTTTAAAAAAAAAAGGTCGTCTTATGGCGTCCACGATTCGGGCCGATCAGCTTATCTAAAAAGAAGACCATGGAGATTCTTAATCCAATCGATTTTTCAAACTTTCACACTAGGATACCCGCTTAGAAAATATTCGGTGAATAGACGATTAATTATCAACGGTGACATCCACTCACGGGAATTGACGTGAAAAGATTATAGCAATGATTTTCTAGCAACATAATGGGTTCTAGTGCATACCGAACACGCTGAGAACGGGTTCTACTTTATCTAGATCCGCAAACGTAGTTCGAAGCACCGTTGTCCCGACGAAACTTGTTGGTTAACCTATTTCTTCACAATATCGTCAAACACGAGCAGAGCTCGCCGAACTATTTTATACTGCGCTTCGTGTATTAAAAGTTCAGGTCACTCACCAGAATTCGGGCATGGAATGAAGTTGGTAGAATCATGCACAAAATCCACGACAGCAAAATAACTATTGATAAATTATTTGGGAATTCAACGATTTCCAATACAAAATTAATGATTAATTATGATTATTACCTCGTCAGATAATTAATACAATCTGCTTATTCCACTTCAGCAATCTTAAAGTCGTCAATCTAAGTTAAACGTTTTATTTAGTAACATTCGAGGTCTCTCGGATGTCCGGTTCTTTTTTCTTTTTGTATCTATAACGAACTTGGAATATGCTGTAAAATAATTAATAGTAATAGATTTAGTTGAAAAGCTTCCCGGTTTGTTTATGCGCCTAATGATAAAATGGAGAAAGACCATTAGCGTCATCTGCTATGAAATTCCCAAGATTTACGATTACGTTGCGTCGATAAGGTAGGAAATGTGAATATCTTATAATGGTAAAAACATTTGTTTTTCTAAAACCACAGACCTAGCCTTAGAATCCGTATAGACATTGCATGCAGTGCTATTTTTTGTCTCAAGCTCTGAATTACCGATTTTTTAGAAAATACATACTCTGATACGATAGCAGAACGATATATAAGGATATGGAAGAATAAAATATTNTTGCATGCAGTGCTATTTTTTGTCTCAAGCTCTGAATTACCGATTTTTAAGAACGATATATAAGGATATGGAATATATACATATATATTCCATATTATGATATATATATATATATATAAGGATATGGAATAGCAGCATGACGAATAAGCTAATGGAAATAAGGAAGACAATGGAAGAATAAAATATTCTAAAGAGATTACGGGAACATGGACGAATAATTATAATAATATCAGAGGTAATGTTATAAACGACAATTAATCCGAACAAAAGAGCAGGCAGAGGTATGGTACTGGTAACAAATAACAATAATAATAATAACAACCACATATAAGTGGAAAAACGTAAAGAAATGACTTGTATATAAAAAATCTATATGTATTCTATAATAATAATATAATTATAATATTATATATATAATATATAATTATTATATTTATATATATATATTAAAATTTAAATGAATATGTAGACTATATTATAACACGGGCATATTTAATGAATATACGAACTAATGGGCTTGAAAATTTTCGATCAGAATGATCAGAATAATCGACACTCATTGGTCAGTATTTTTGTTAATAACTCGTAAACGAAGTCGCGGATTGTGTTTGCGCTAAAGAAGAAATTAGTTCAAACGACCACAGAAACCGCTCATTGCCCGATTGAGAGTGACTCTCGGGGCACCCTGTATAATAGCATAATCGAAGGAATTAAAACTGTCAAAACAACTGTAAAACATTAATTCTGCCCAACTAAAACAGTTGCCCATAATTCCCCTGTTCAATTGGTATACACGATTTTATCACGTAACGTTGCAATATATGAAAAAATTATGGTTGTTCAAATCTTACCCGACGTAGTAATTTCACATTAGCTTGAATACCACCAGCGGTCCGAATCGTTTTCGAGTTCGAGTCACAAAGAAACGCATCGTCCAGGATTATACAAGTGAATGTCTAATGTTCGAAAGAATATCAGATAAGCACAACGCAGCGTGTATGACATCGAACGAGAGCTGACTTTACTATTTTTACTGGCCGACAGGAAAGGACAAACGTTTCTTGCAAGGGTAAAGCTAATGAAATCGATCGATTGTAGACGGATGTCCATCATTTCAGTTAATTGCGATCACTTTGTCGATGAAATCGTAAGGAAAACTGGAAAGCGTGAATAAACGATGGACACCGAGGTGAAGTCGGACTTCACCACAAATTCTCGTCGCAGACAATCATTTCTATCGGACGAGATGGACGTGTTCCGAAAGAACTTCAGTACTTATTGTTCTGTGTTGTGCTTCGCCGGGCTCTGGCCCTACGCTGATAGTAAACTAGAAAAGATTCGGAGAATCGGTTTTTGTCTGCTTATCCTTTGTTGCATAGGAACCCAGGTGATCAAGTGTCGTCTTGAAATTTTTACTTTACAATAGAAAATGTTGCACTTACCGCGTAAATGAAAAGCGAACACGCGAACTGAAATAATTAAAATTTTTACCAAGGTTGTATACACCTACAACTCGTTTGTGAAGTATGGTGGTAGACAGTTTGCAGAATTAAATTTTTGGGAATTTATTTAGCGACGAACAAGGTGATAACTGGTTTATTTGGTATTAATTTGGTTTATTGGTATCTTTTCTTGGCTGCAATATTTATGGGGAAACGCGTTAACGACAACGAAATTACAGTTCAATGGATCGATTACTCTTTTGGACCCTTTCTAACCCTAGTGAAATTAGGTTTATATAATATATATGGCAACAATTAATTTTTGAAGCTAGGCGAAAAATACTGTCATTCACACATAGTGATGCAGGCAGGGACCATATTAGTAGGTTCGACTATTAATGTTACAGTATACAACTGCCAACTACACCGCGGTAATGGAAACTATGTATTTCCTGTGAAAATATTAATCTTTCACGGTATAGGAAACACTGTAGTGGCATTAACCTTTTAGGTACGGCTGAATCTGCGAGGCTATTTCTCTGGAAGGCAGAGTCTGATATGTATTGTACAGAGTCTGAGCCAATGAGCGGAACTGGGCTTCGCGCGCTGGTTGGCTGGGCC